AAGGAGATCTTTTGGGCCTTGATGTGCATCTCGGGCATCTTGAACTTGGGGCCCTTCACCTTCCCCTCGGGACCCTCCACGTCCAGGTTGGGCACCTCAACATCCACCTTCGGCCCCTTCACCTCCATTTCTGGCCCTTTCCAGTCCCCTTCGACCTTGGGAGCTGCCACATCCACCTCTCCTTTCACTTTGGGGCCCTTCAGGTTCAAATCCACGTCCGGCATCGAGATTTTGGGCGTTTTGATGTTCAGCTTCGGCATCCGGAATTTGGGACCTTTCCATTTGCCTTCCGTGCCTCCCACGTCCACCTCCGGCCCCTCAACGTCCACCTCCGGCCCAGACACCTCCAGCTCTGCTTTGGGCAGGTTCACATCGACCTCGGCTCCCTCCAGTTTGGGGTCGGACATGTGGAAATGGGGCAGTTTCATTTTGGGCATTTTCACTTTGGCCTCCGGACCCTCCAGGTTTGTGTCCGGGACCTCCACGTCGATTTTGGGCCCCTTGACCTCACCTTCTACCTTCGGGAGGGAAACGTCCATCTCTCCCTTCACTTTGTGGCCCTTCAGGTTCAAATCCACGTCTGGCACCGAGATTTTGGGCGACTTAATGTTCAGTTTCGGCATCTTAAATTTGGGGCCTTTTATCTTCCCTTCCGGGCATTCCAAGTCCACCTCCGGCATCTCAACATCCACTTTGGGACCTTCCACGTCCATCCTGGGAACTTCCACATCCACCTTGGGACCTTTCACGTCTATTTTGGGGCCTTTCACGTCCACCTTGGGACCCTCCACATCTATTTTGGGGCCCTTCAGATCCCCGGAGATCTTCGGGCCAGAAATTGCCACGTCCCCCTTCAGTTTTGGGACCTTCAACCCCAGATCTACGTCTGGCATGGACAGTTTTGGGGTCTGAACGTTCAGTTCGGGCATTTTAAACTTGAGACCTTTTCCTTTCACTTCCGGCCCTTCGATGTCCACGCTCGGGACATCGACGTCCACCTTGGGGCCAGAAATGTCCACTTTGGGCCCCTTCAGGTCAACCTTGGGGCCAGAAATGTCCATTTTGGGGGCAGAAATGTCCACTTTGGGGCCAGAAATGTCCACCTCCCCCTGGGGAAGAGT